TATCTTTAAAAAAAAAAAAAGGTATTTATTTGGCTGCACAGGGACAGCTTACAGGATCTTTAGTGCAGTATTTGAACTCTTAGTTGAGGCATATAGGACCGAGTTCCCTGACCAAGGACTGAACCTGGGCCCTCTGCATTGGGAGCACGGAGTACTAGCCAGTGGACCACCAGGGAAGTCCCCCAAAAGTTATCTTTCTGGTTAAAACTGTGATTTGATGATGCATACAGCCTTTAACAAAACATTCCAGAAATTACACTTCCAAATATGTGTTATTGCCTTCAAAGTGTCATATTGGGAGGTGATACACCCATTTTAACGATGCTGCATGGCTCTAAACAATTTTGTAAAGCCTTTTAGAACTTCCTTCAGAACCAGTTTATAACCAAACCAGAGAAAAAGACATTACTCTCTATACAGTCATACTTCATAACTCCCCAAAGCTAAGGGAACTATGTAACATTGTTAAACTGATGCAGCTTAAAAGAACTTCCCTTTATGAGTCTGACTTCCCAACATATATAGTGAGAACACTTTAGTATGAAAACAAGCAAATATATGGGAGGGGGGGGAAGCTAAGTTGTCTGATTCTTCATCAAAGAATGAGGATACATTCTTGAGGCAAAGAAGGAGCCAACTTGGGAAACTCAGAGGCAGAAGAAATTCTTGGACAGTCAGGAGGAAATTTTTTTTTTAAGGGAGCAGATAACCAATAAATCTTAGGAGACTGACAACATATTTCTCACAGGGAAAAAAAAGAAAGAATGAAGTTATAGCCATCAGTTTTAGAAGTAGAAGCATGGTGGGGAAGAGTTCAAATTTCAGAACCAAGTCTAGGAGTCAAACTCAGATGCTCTAATTAGCAGGTTTGCATAGATTCTCTCTGTGCCCTACTTTCCCCATCTGTAAAATGAAGACACATATGTCAGGAGTTGTGTAAGGTTTAAAGTGGAGCCCAAGTCAACCACTCCCCCAATTTCTCTCATCTCAACACCGTTTCTTCAGGTTAAAGAATAGGAAACTGGAGAGAGGGAGGCAGGGGTGAAAGGGCAACCCTCCAGGAACTTTCAGGCTTCCCTGGCTTCAGCCTTCTTAGCTCTGCAGTGCCAGGGCACAGAGTGAAAAATGCCTGGCAGCTTTATCAGCCTCTTTTCAACAGACATTCCCAGAGCACCCTGTTATTTAAGGAAAGCAGCAGCCCGTTTAAATCCCTGAAACTTTGAAAATAATGGAAACAACCTCAATGCACAAGAGTAGGAGACTGGTTGAATTATGAGACGTAATACCCAAAGGTAGTCACATGACGGAATTGTAATTGGACACTATTAAATGACATGGGGAGATGTTCATAATGAATTAAGTAAATACTGCCATGAAACAGTATATATACTATAGATTCCCATCTTTTTAAAATAATTGGTTTATAGGGGAAAAATTAGAAGGAAATAAGAATTGTTAACAATTTAACAAATGTTAAATGTAAAGAATTTTAACAAATTCTAAGTGGTAGGAATATGGATGTTCAAAATTTTTTCCTTTATAAGCCTTGTACAATGAACATAATATTTTTAACATACAGTATTTTTTTTAACATACAGTATTATATGTAAATCTGACATGGCATTTGAAAAACAACTCCACAGGGAGAAATTATGACCACTTTGTTCACCCTACGATGCTCCATGTTGAGACATATAGTTCAGACTTCCTAATACCACAGGCTCCTGGCCCCACAGTGGGTTTGTACCCTCTTCAGCATTCACATCTTGACAGTCACCTCTCTGGTTTGCAGCAAGATTAACAAAGGAAATTCCTGTCCTATAGCCTCTGCAGAAGACCAGATCTCCACTTAAGTAGACAGTGGGAAAGGGGAGGAAAGCATATGGCCCAGACTTCCTTGAGTTTGTAAAACAGGAGTATAGTGTGAGTAGTTAAAAGTGTGATACATTTTATCACTGCTGTAGCTGTTAAGAATAACTACCATTTACTGAACACTTCCTTTGTGCTGGATGCCTCCTGCATCATCTAATTTTCATGATGGCCAATTAAGTATTATCCCTATTTCACAGATAAAGACACAGATAAAGAGGTCAGACAATGTGCCTAAGTTCCCAGTGAGAGGAAGTGATAGACTAAGGTGCTTCAGAGATTGCAAAACTGTTTCAAAATGGCCTCCATCATTCTTTGCACTACTCTGTGAGATGACCATTCTATGATTTAACTTGAGAAATGGAAGGGACAGATGGCTTCAAAGGCCTTTCTAAGGTTCTTCATGGCTGATCCCAAAGGCCATTTCCAGTTTTTGGCTTCAGTAGAGGAGTCGTGTACTGAATGGGTCAATGGTGAAGCCAAACATTTTGGGTATGTTACCGCAGATGATGAGAAGCAGATTTTAATCTGACCTTGAAGAAGGCAGTGTGTGGTGGGAGACCAGCAAACAACCAGATCATGGTGGTAAGATTGCTAAGAGAGATAATCCTGTACAGAGGATACAGGACCAGCTACTTTGAAGCTTGCTGGTAGAAAGAAGAGAGCCAAGGCAGAAGAGCTTAGGTTCTTGAATGATTGGTGCACCAGCTCAACCCTACCTGTAAAAGGCAGCGGCTCCATTCACATAGTGGTGAAATTATTTTGGCCCAGTGTGTAGGCTATCATAAAACTGTATTTTATTCAGGTCCTGAATAAGACACTCTGCTACTAATTCTTAAAGTACTATATGTGCTAATATTTACTTTTTGATATACTCACATAACAGAAAGAAAGACAACATGGCTATAATAATTTACTGCATTTTCATTTCTTATTTGGGACAATACCAAACATTGTTTGAAGTAGTGAACTGGGACATTGAGCTATTTGCATACTACGCTGCAGCTGCTGCTGCTAAGTCACTTCAGTCGTGTCTGACTCTGTGCGACCCCACAGACAGCAGCCCACCAGGCTCCCCCGTCCCTGGGATTCTCCAAGCAAAAACACTGGAGTGGGTTGCCATTTCCTTCTCCAGTGCATGAAAGTGAAAAGTGAAAGTGAAGTCGTTCAGTCGTGTCTGACTCTTGGCAACCCCATGGACCGCAACCTACCAGGCTCCTCCATCCATGGAATTTTCCAGGCAAGAGTACTGGAGTGGGGTGCCACTGCCTTCTCCAACTATCTATACTATTTGTTATATCAGAAGTAAATGCTCATGACTGGTCTTAATGGAAGTAAATTTTCAAAATTTTTGTTGTTTAGTTGCTAAGCTGTGTCCGACTGTTTTGCAACCTCATGGACTGAAGCCTACCAGGCTTCTTGGTCCATGGGATTTCCCAGGAAGAATACTGAAGTAGGTTGCCATTTCCTTCTCTAGGAGATCTTCCCAACCCAGGGATCGAACTCACATCTTCTGCAGTGGCAAGTGGGTTCTTTACCACTGAGTAACCAGGGAAGCCCCAAATTTTCAAATTAGTGATCCTGGCAAATTTTAAACTTAGTAATCTTGATTTTTTTTTTAAAAATTGCTTTGTGTGTGTGTGTGTGTTAGGAGAGAGGGAGAGGCAACAGAAGAGGAAGCATTTTCCCAGAATCATGAATTAGCAACCTTGGATCCTTGTCACTCCAGTATCCTTGCCCAGAAAATCCCCTGGACAGAGGAGCCTGGCAGGCTATAGTCCATGCAGTTGAGAAAAGTCGTGTTGGACTGAGCATGCACTTGCAGATCCTTGTCTAGGCTCCGCCCTCACCTAGCTAAGTAATTCTGAATAAACCTTTTAATCTTCAGATTACTCACCTGTACAATGAGATTCTAAAAGACAGGTGATGTTTGATGTTGTTAATATTCTGTGTGACAAGCTAGCATTCCACAGGTATCCATAACAACAGTAAATAGACCTTAAGTCCAGAGTAAGTATCCCTAAATGTCAAATGCTATAAGATGGACATTTGTGAATGGCTGTCTTTATTCTCCAGGGTATGGATAGTGGGCACTCTAAGTAGAGAGCTTTGATGTCAATCTGTAGGAAAGTTTCCCCTCACTTTGTCCTCAGCTGGTGTGGAGAAAAGGAAGAAGAAGTGGGTAAAAGTATAGGATTTGGAAGCTGCATTCTTGGGAGTCCAGACTGGAAGTCGCCTTCTCCAGTTGCTCAGACCTGACCTCCAGTTGATGACAAATACAAGCTGAATTCAACTATCCCTGGATGGTATCAACCCCTTGCTGGGATTTGTCAAGCCTTGGATTTGTGATCTTCCAGAAGTAGGGATGGATCTGTTCTTTGAGATCCTAGGAGAAACTGTTATGCTCTGAGGATAACTGAGATAATAGAACTAACTACAAATGCTTAGGTCTTAATTCAATACAGTGGATCACAGAGTTTAAAATGTGGAAATTACCTTTTCAAATGTATGTTTAATTATTCTGAGGATCTGGTTGCCTGTCAGATATCTACTGGACTTGTTATGAGGATGAAATAGGAAAAACTCAAAAAGAAGACATTAAACACTAGGAAGGACAGCTTTCAGAAATACGGGAAGGGAAATTTCCCATGTGGTCAGGCAAACACACCAATCCTTACTGTCTTTCTTGCCCACCAAAGAGCTCTAACAGTAATGCTTCAAAGGCTTGTGTGGTGGTTCAAGCCTACTTAGAAGTTTACAGGGCCCTATGCTAAGCTTCGGGTATCTTTATAGGTTCCTCTTGTTCAGTAATTGTGGCCTCCAAATTTATAATTCTCATTTCACTCCACGCTCCCTTCATCTGTCCTCTAGGCTTTCAGTGCCTTCCACGAAACATTTTTCTACCTCCAACCAAAACAGTAAGAGGACTGCCTAAGTGAAAGTGATAGTCGCTCAGTCGTGTCCGACTCTTTGAGACCCTATGGACTGTCCATGGAATTCTCCAGGCCAGAATACTAGAGTGGGTTGCCATTCCCCTCTCCAGGGGATCGTCCCAACCAAGGGATGGAACCCAGGTCTCCTGCATTGCAGGCGGATTCTTTACCAGCTGAGCCACAAGGGAAGCCCCTGAGTGCCTAAGGGGAACCTATAAAAGTATCAGCAGAGAGTGAGGGCCAGTTACTGCTCATAAGTCGGGCACTTTAAAGGCTCTTACTTGAATCACCGTTTAGGATTTAAAACACCAGGAAAGAGGAGCTTTCACTACTCACTCCGCGAGGAGTGCCCACCTTCATCCCCAAGCTGCAGTTTCCCATGAGTAAAGATAGGCATCACCTCATCACTTCAAGATTCCGTCGACACTTCTCTACGTTGGCAGATAGTTCCTTTTCGAGGCGTAAGCGCTTTCTAAGCACCTCAACCGCCGAAGAGGTTCTGAGCCTCACCTATTGCCCAGGAGACGCGCCGGGTTTTGTTTTTCTACGTCCCCGCCGGAACAGGCCCGCCCACTAGCGTCAGAGCTAGCTCTTCACTGGTCCGGAAGTGTGCTCGTCTCCTCAGAGAGCCAATCAGAGCCTCACTTTCTACTCAGGGGATTTGAAAAACGGAAAAGACCTTGACCTGTTCCTGGGAGTAGGGCGGGGGTGTGAATGATTGACAACTCGACTCTCCAATAATCAGAGCCCTAGGACCTGCCCCTTCTGGCTCCAGGGCTAGAAAAGAGAGTCGATGCCGGCCGCAGTGATGAGTCCTGGGAGATCCTGGTTGTTCGGCGGTCCTGAGGAGCGGCTGCTACTGGTGGCCTTTTGGCAGGTGAGTGGCTGCTGTTGTTGATAGTGCTGTTGCGAAGGTTTTGCATTTGTCAGTGATGTGGTGGTTTATTTCGGCGCGCTGGAGGGCCAGTTTCTTTCCTCCCCAGGTTCAGTCTGTGGTGGGAGCCTGGCACTCGCACGCCCACCCCTCAAGCTCCGACCCTCACTTATCCCCTAGGTCCCGCTCAGCTGTCTCTTTCTCAGAATAAGCCTGTCTAGTCTACTAACGGAAAGGAGGACTCCGCGTTGGTAGTGGTGTCTTAACGGCAAGAATAAACAGGGAGTCGAAGGGAGTGATAACTCCACTCCCCTGGACGTCTCAGGTACCGGGTGTCAGTCCTTCGTAGGACTCCCCTTGAAAGGGCGCTTCCCTGTGATTTCAGGGCCTTGGCGCTATATTGAGGGCGATGGCAGACTTGGCCCTTGAAGGCTCAGTAGATAGAAAAAACCTGAACGTCATGAAAGGAGAAAGGTAAATATCTGCAGTGGTTTCATGGAGGGTTCGAATCTGGAACTAAATCACAGGTTCTTTGAACCACTACAAATGAAAAAGTAAGTGTATTTCTTCTTCTTTCCAAGGAATGAGGGCCATGTTACTGGAGAAAGAGTAGAAATGCGAATGGAAGTGAAATTCACAGTTGAGTTTTGAGGAGTAATTGTTTGTTGGCTGACTTACTATAACTCTCATTACCTTATGCCTCCCAAATTATGGAGGCTTAATGGCTTGTATGTAGTACCAGAATGTTAACTGCCCACTTTGGGGAGAACGAAATCAGATGCAATCTTTCACCAGTAGTTTCTAGGGTTTTCTATAATGAAAGCAGAACACATGGCATTTTGTCTTTTAAAACTGTCTCCCCTGAGGCCAGGGGACTAGGTTTGTTCCATCCTTGTATTCCTATGCACCTCACATACCACAGATGCAATACTCAATTGTGGTGGGGTTCAGAGAGGCATAATTCAATCAAATGGTGTTGTGGAAGGAGCTCTGAGTTGGCAGTCAAGACACCTGGTTTTAGTCTTGAAGTTGTGTGATCTAGTGAAGTGAAAGTCACTCAGTCATGTCTGACTCTTTGCACCCCCATGGACTATACAGTCCATGGAATTCTCCAGGCCAGAATACTGGAGTGAGTAGCCTTTCCCTTCTCCAGGGCATCTTCCCAACCCAAGGATTGAATCCAGGTCTCCCACATTGCGGGGGAGTTCTTTACCAGCTGAGCCACAAGGGAAGCCCAAGAATACTGGAGTGGGTAGCCTATCCTTTCTCCAGGGGATCTTCCTGAACCAGGAATCAAACCAGATTCTCCTGCATTGCAGGCATATTCTTTACCAGCTGAGCTACCAGGTATAATCTTAAGTCATTTCAACTCTCTGACTCTTAACTTCTGCCTCTTTAAAAAGTGAAAGTTGCATTAGATTATTTCTGAGGTCCATGCCTGTGTTCAAAGTCTGTTTTAAACTAAAGATTCTTAAACATTTTCCACCACAAGTACATCAGCAAAATCTCATTACAGTAAATTCCTAACCAGTCTGTTAGCAAATGAAAGCTCCCAGCTACAAGGGTCATACCTGGTTCTTTTGTGTCCATATTTAAACCAAACCAAGTGGGTCATTGTCCAGAATGAACATTGTACAGAAGTAAAACATGGCAGAAAATGTCATCCTTTATTCCACTACTCAAAGACAGCTGCTGTTGGTGTCTGGGTAGATCTTTCAGTCTCTCTTCCTCTTTTGCCTTCTATGGTTGGTTGAAATTACGTGGCACATTTCATTTTAAATTTATGTTAAGTAATGACATCTAAATTCAGCCACACCTTCATCTTTGTCTTGTGCCTAGAGCGCAGAGGACACGCCAGTGTCTGAACTGATGATGGGTCACTTGAACATCTTTGGAATGAAATCTGGTGTGAAGGGATATTTGTATGGGGAAATAGGACTAAAAGTATCTCTGAATAACAAAACTCTTTAACTGAAACGTGGCCACAAATATGAAAAAAACATAGTTTATAAAATATAAAATAAATGTTAGCCACTTCACCAAAGCATGTGAATTATAGAATATCACTTAGTATTTGGTATGCTTCTAGGACTGTGTCTTACCATCAGCACCCCTGCCCTGAAACACATACAGCATTTGATTGCATTTCTCCTTGCCCTACCTAATTTAACTTTTTCTCCTTACCCCCGCCCTCATTTTATTTTATCTCCAGCTTTTGTTTCTGCTCATGCCATCAGCAAGGTAGGATCACTTTCAAGGGCCTGAGGTCTGTATCAGTCTTCATGCGTTAGTCAAAGTCTGCGCCATTCAACCCAGAATACCTTGCATTCTTTGGTAGGGCGCTTCACCATCATCTCATTTAGTATTCCTCATAGCCCCTTGAGAAACAGCAATTTCATTATCCTCATCTTTATGGACAAGGAACCTGAGGTGCAGCAGATAACTTAAATTGTCAAGATGACACTGTCACTAAGTAGCAGAGCTGGGACTAAAGTCCCATACTTTTAAGATTTGGTGGAAATGGTTTGTTTTGACACAAATGCTACTACTGTAGGGTAATAAGTAACCAGAGATAGGAAGGAGACATCTTGAGTGGGTATTCTGCACATGAGTGATGCCATGCCAGCTGGAACAGGCCACATGCCCCATGCACACACATCTCATTGCTGGACACTTCCCTGTGAATAAGGGTCTACCTGCTATGGTTTGTTACCTCTGTAACATGGGGTCAGTCAGGGCTGTTAGAAGGTATAAAGTTGGAGAATGACAGGGTAATAGTGTCTGGAAAACACCTACAAGTAATAGAGTTTGCTCCTGGTAAAATAGTTGTTCTTATAATGCAAATACAAATGGAAAAATTACCATCATGCTTTCGGAAAAGTAATAGATGAGGAACAGGAGGTACTTTTGGATACAGGCTTGTTTGAACTTTTCATATTGAGCTGGGCTGGGAGAATCTTAGGAACTGAGCTCCAGATTTCATTTCCCTTAAGAACTGTTCCTTTTTAATTTATCAGAAACTTGGTTAATCTCTCTTTTTCCTATCCTCAAGTCTAGCCAGTCTGTCTTCTATAGAGCTAGATCCCTAATGCAGTGGGGGTTGAGAGTCATTCAAAGCTGCATAGTGAGGATTTAGACCTCCAAGTGGTGCAAACATGGAAACACTCAAATGGTCTAGGGTAGCATTTGTATATTTATTATTGAAGAGAAAGCTTTGGATTAAAGAAACTCTCTGGCTCTGCATCCCTTATTTTATATTGTTTCAACATTCTATCATTGATCACATTTCTTACTCAATTTTTGGAAACAGAAAACAAGTTGAGACTGGACTTTATCCTATAATTTTTCCCACCTGTTCATGAGTTGCCAGGTATGTATTCACCTGAAGTGTGAAGCACTGTGACAATTTATAAAGATGTCTAATAAAAGTAAAGCATGTCAAAATGACAGATTATATTTTTGAAGTTGGTTAACAAGATGAATAATTTTAATATTGAGCTGGGCTGGGAGAATCTTAGGAACTGAGCTCCAGATTTCATTTCCCTTAAGAACTGTTCCTTTTTAATTTATCAGAAACTTGGTTAACCTCTCTTTTTCCTATCCTCAAGTCTAGCCAGTCTGTCTTCTATAGAGCTAGATCCCTAATGCAGTGGGGGTTGAGAGTCATTCACAGCTGCATAGTGAGGATTTAGACCTCCAAGTGGTGCAAACATGGAAACACTCAAATGGTCTAGGGTAGCATTTGTTTATTTATTATTGAAGAGAAAGCTTTGGATTAAAGAAACTCTCTGGCTCTGCATCCCTTATTTTATATTGCTTCAACATTCTATCATTGATCACATTTCTTACTCAATTTTTGGAAACAGAAAACAAGCTGAGACTGGACTTTATCCTATAATTTTCCCCACCTGTTCATGAGTTGCCAGGTATGTATTCACCTGAAGTGTGAGGCACTGTGACAATTTATAAAGATGTCTAATAAAAGTAAAGCATGTCAAAATGACAGATTATATTTTTGAAGTTGGTTAACAAGATGAATAATTTTTTTCCCTATTGTTCTATCTTGAACCCATTATTAAGTAATTTGATGAAGCAAAATAAACTACTCAGACTGATTTAAATGTGCTCAGTATTGTCTTATATGAAGGATTAAAAACAGTTATGAATGGGATTCCATTATTCAAAGTACTTGCAGTGCTGGCCAAGAATAAAATCAGGTGATTTTAATAATGTTGGGATTATCCTATGGCAGGATGCTTAAACGCTCAAAATGCTGATGTGATTAGTAGATCTGAGTAATCTCAGCTAGACCAGGGTTTAGGAAGCTAAGACCTTCTGGCCTACTATCTTTCCAGCCCACAAGCTATGAATGACTTTTACATTTTTTTAATGGTTGAAATAAGTCAAAGAATAACAATATTTCATGTGCATGGAAATTATATGAAATTCTCATTTCTTTATCCATATGTAAAAGACAAAAAGTTCCAATATGTTTATTGGAACATAGCCTTATTTGTTCATATATGCATTGTTTATGACTGCTTTCAGCTACAGTGGCAGAATTGAGTAATTTTAAGAGAGACCATATCACCCACAAAGCCTAAAATATTTACTCTTGGACCTTTTACAGAAAAAGTTGCCCCCCCCCCCCCGCTTTTTTTGCCTCCAGCTAAGCTGAAGTATCTCTCACATCATTGCCTTCATCCCATTTCAACAGCAATTATGCTGCCCCAGGTCTTCATTAAATGTTACCAGAATAGTTGCAAAAGATTCACAAGTATTCACATCCATTTCCCTTACTTGTAAGTGCTGCCTGATCCTCCTAAAATACACAGTATTAAAGCTTTAATGATGTCCCAGTACTTGCAGAAGAACCTATGTTCTTTGGCACAATGTCCTTTCAGGGCCACTATTCAGCCTTATCTTTCTAGACTAGTGTCCTCCTTCTTCCTTATTATACCCTATACTTAGTACAGGATGATCATATAATTTTCAGGATGGGA